TAAACTTGACATATATATTTTTTTTTTTTATTACATTAGGTTAAACGAGTACTTAGGTTTGCTGCTACAGGGAAGGTAGTAATGTGTTTTTTTTTTTAGCAAAACATCAAAAGCTTGGACGAAATTACAGAATTGGCCAAATTTGATCAAAATATATTCATAAATATGTAAAGTACAACTCTTTACTTTTTCTCCAAAAGAATAACATTTAAGAAATATAAATTTACAGTTTTTTTTTTATTTTCTCCATAAACTTTAATTGTACAACAATTCATCAATACATTTAATTATTTGTTTTTTTAATACTCTACAACGTGGTTTGGAAAGAAATTGTTAAATTTTATATTTAGACGGTAAAAAATTGGAAAACCTATAAAACCCTATTCCTGTAGTCTGATCATGCTAGTTCACGAACTCGTTTGAATAACTTAGGTTTACACGTTTCTAACAAATTTCATCAAAATCGGATGATTTTTTTCTTAAGTTATCGTGCTAACGGATTTCATCACACACATACATATATATTAATTTTGAACGGATGGTGTTTTTCGCATCTGGGGACATCAAAACTCTTGGGTCCATGACCATGAGATCTATGGTAGGTAATACTGTAGCTTATTCACTATATAGAAAATTCGCTAAAATGATACTCATGAACAAAATTAAAACTTTTTAAATGAAATTGACAGTGACAACTGTTATCTAGCATTGCAGAACATTGCGAAATATCAATTCTGATAAAAACACTTCAGCTCTTGATTTCAACATGTCAATCAATTGTAAATAACGAACAAACAATGTATCAAGGCAAGTGGTTTGTTATACTGGGTGTTAGCGAATTTCTCTATAGGGAAGTAGTTATTACCGTAGGTCTCATGATAAGACCTAGGCCCGGGCCCGATTTAATTTTTCATTTTGATGTCCCCAGAGGCCAAAAACACCATTCGTTCAAATTTTTATATAGGTATGTATATTTAACCCTCCGAATGTTAAGCGTCGCTTAATCGACGCACAACACGGCTGCTGTGGTGTTATGCGTCGACGGCAAAGGCTCTGGGACTGACTGAATCAGATTTAACTGGATCGAGATTGGTATCGTTGTTTTAAGCAGATTCTGAGCTTTCTCCTGATGTCTGTTTCTAGACGCTTTTCATTTTAGTTCCGAAAATATTGTAGCAGACAGCTGATGTGCGTATTTGTAAACAACTTGGTTAACCTCGCACCGATGACTGATGTGTTTTATTACGTTTATCATTGTTTTAGTGTTAAAAATCAAAAGTCTAAATACTATACAGCCGCAATTGTTACTCACTCAGGTATACAAATTCTAGACCACTTCTAGATGAGCTAGAGACTTGAAATTTTCGGTGGTTGTAGGTCTAGTGCCCAAACCACCCATAAAATTCCAAAAAGTGACATTTTTAAATTTTAACCCCCCCGTAATCTCGAATTTCCCCCCCATGTTATTCTTATGGGAAATAGCATTGAAAATTGCCGACTTTGGTAAGCTCATCTGAACAACTTAGAAACGTGCTAGAGACTTCAAATTTGCGTAATATTGTAGTGTGAGGTCTTACAATACCGGTGGAATTTGCAAAAGTCCCATTTTAAAATTTTAACCCCCCCCAAAATCCAAAATGGCGGACCTCTGAAAACGATAAAACACGTTTTTTTCAACCGGATGTAGCTCGAAAACAGTAAGAGCTAGAAAAGATTTGAAAGTATATCCAGGAACGGGAATTAAATTTTATACAAAACCCTCTTAAGCGTTTTCCAAAAATCGCACTCCTTCAGCTTCAAAAAACGCCCTACTTTCAAAATTTGGTAAATTTTTATTCAATTTTTACCGGTTTTCGCCATGTTTTCATACTTAAATAATTTTTTTTTCAAAAATTATTATTGCTTTGTATTCTCCTTACTTTACTTTAAATTTTACTCATTACATGTTTTTTGGTAGCTTTACTCCTTGACCCCCAAAACTTAATTTTAATCTCAAAATTTGAAGGTTTTTTGCCACTTTTACGAGCCCCATGTTATTCTTATGGAGAATAACATTGAAAGTGGTCGACTTTGGTGTGCTCATCTGAACCGTTTAGAAACGTGCTAGAGACTTGAAACTTGGTATTATTGTTGTAGGGGATCTTATATTAACGGTGAAATTTGCAAAAGTCCCATTTTCAAATTTTAACCCCGCCAAAAATCCAAAATGTCGGACCTCTGACAACGATAAAACACGTTTTTTTCAAACGGATTTAGCTCGAAAACAGTAAGAGCTAGAAAAGATTTGAAAGAATATCCAGGAACAGGAATTAAATTTTCTACAAAACCCTCGTTGGTGTTTTCCGAAAATCGCACTCTTTCGGGTTCAAAAAACTCCATACTTTCAAAATTTGGTAAATTTCTTTCAACTTTTTACCGGTTTTCGCTATTTTTTCATACTTAAATCATTCCTTTTTGCAAATATTATTATTGCTTTGTATTCTCCTTACTTTAGTTTAAATTTTACACTGTACGTGTTTTTTCGTAACTTTACTCCTTAACCCCCAAAACTTAGGTTTAATGTCAACATTTGAAAGTTTTTACGAGCCCCATGTTATTCTTATGGAGAAAACATTTACCCCATAAAAACCACCATAAGTCCCCGTTCCCATGGTCCGTTCATGCTATAGATTTACTCTGGTTTACTTAAGGTTTTATCCCCCTATCGTATTTACAACCCCCCCCCCCCAAATATTAAATCCCCCCAATGTTATTCTTACAGGTGCATAAGTCTAAATCATGTTTACACATTTCTAGATTAACTGGAAATCTGAAATTTTGCATGATTGTAGATCTTGCGCCCTTTCCGAAAAGTGACATTTTACAAATATAACTCCCTCCCCCACGAAATATAGAATCCCCCCAATGTTATTCCTACAGGTGCATCGGTCTAAATCAATTTTACCCACTTCTAGAATAGCTAAAGATCTGAAATTTGGCTCAATTGCAGGTCTTGCGCCATGGCCCATTTCTATTTACCCCCTACCAAAAAAGGGGGCCTGGGGGCGGAGCCCCCAGCGAGCCAAAGGCGAGTAGTGATATACGTGGTGCATTATAAGAAGATTTAAGTGATTTTGAAGGGCTGGTTGATGATCCTGAAGAAGTAGGTAGTGATATTGATGTAAATTATCGGCCAGATTCCTAGCTATGGTTAGGCTATGCATTCTTAGCTAAACGCTATGTACGAAATCTGTTTTTTGCCCATAACTTATTTATTTGCAAACCTACTTCCTTATATTATTATATTTTCGGAATCCTCATAAAATTTTGAACAAAGTGGCTATTTTAAAATATTTGTAGACCTATAAATTATAACAATTTATTGAGCGGAAACATAATTTTTTTTTCATTTAATTTATAATTTTTTAGAAATGTTAACCCCACAAAAATTTTTGAACATTTTTTTTTGTAATGTTTTATATGTTACATTGAAGCCCATAATTTTCCAAACAAAATGATATATAAAACAGTATACTTTACATTGTTTTTAAGTTTCTAAGTTACATTTTAATAAAACCCTGCGATTGCGCAATAAATGGGCGGTTATTAAGACCAATACTATGGACACTTTGAGGGTAAAATGTGACCGTCCAGATGATAACTTGAGTAATTTTTGTCCAATTTTGATAGAATTTCGTTTTGAAGGTGTAAGGCAGGATAAACTTGAATGAGTTCGCGGACCAGCATGATCGAACCATAGGAATGGCGGGTTTTATGGGGTTTTCTCATTTTAGCGAATTTCCCTATAGGGAATAAGCTATTACCGTAGGTCTCATGGTAAGACTTAGTCCCGGGACCGATTTACTTTTTCATTTTGATGTTCCTAGAAGCCAAAAACACCATCCGTTCAAATTCATATATATATATATATATTTATATATATATATATGTGTCCGTCAGCACGATAACTCGAGCAAAAATGATCCGATTTCGATGAAATTTGGTACAAGCGTGTAAACCTACGTTTATTCGAATGAGTTCGCGAGCCAGCATGATCGGACCATGGGAACGGGGTTTTATGGGGGGATTTATGGGGTAAAAATTGGTTTTTCTCATTTTTGACCCTCAAAACATAAAATTTCCCAAATTTCTTCTAGACCATTTTGAAGAGCTTAAAAAAACAAATAATTCAGTATATTGAAGTGTTTTTGTATGGTTATTGGTTACGGAGAAATTATAAATTAAAAATTCCCATGTTATTCTTATGGTGAATAAGTAAACTTTTGTAGTTTGCTTGTTTATGCATATATTTGGATCAAACTTGGCCAATCGATTTATTTTATACTAAGCTGTTAATATTTTACTGAAAAACACACTTTATTACCCTGTAGGCAGCAAACCTAGGTACTCGTTAAACCTAATGTTATTTGAATAGATTTAATTGAAAATCAAATCAGGCAAATGGAAATTCGCTTAGTCTGCAGGTTTGCTGCGGCGGGGGTATTTTACCCTTAAAACACAAAATTTATAAATTTTTGTCCAGACCTTAAAGAGCTTAAAAAACAAATAATTTAGTATATCAAAGTGATTTTGTACAACAATTGGTTACGAAGAAAATTAAAAAAAAATTTTAATTTAAAAATCCCATGTTATTCTTATAGAGAATATTGTAAAATGTTGTAGTTGGCTTGTTTATGGATATATTTTGATCAAACTTGGCGGATTTATTTATTTCAAACTAAGCTATTGATATTTTAATAAAAACACACTTTATTAGTTTCCCTGTTGGCAGGTTTGCTGCAGCGGGGGGTATTTTTTAACACAACCCAAATTACAAGTATTGTTTATAATTTTAGTTCATTACCGATCAAGTCATTGACTTGGATGGAAGGAACTAATATTATAGATATGAATGTTTGCAGATAAATGTTTATAGATATGAGCATGGAAAAAAAGTATACCTATTACCTGAGCAAACCAAATGGTTTTATATCAATCATAACTAGAAACTAAAAACTCACCCTCAGCAGCCAAGTGATGACAGACTCTCTGTAGGGAATGAAGCCTCCTCGTTTGTTCTCAGCCAGAGAGGAGATCACTTTGCCCAGAGTCAGCAAGGAGCGGTTGATGCTCACACCTTCCTGTGTACAAACAATCACTGTAAATGCCTGCAATAATGTGATCTATAATTTTGCAGTAGGCGACTAGTTAAACTGACATCTGAGTCATCATTAGGCCAGCACTAGTCTTGTTGTTTCATTTGAAGGTCGTCAACATTAATAATAAAATCGCGTGCACGCACACACACAATAAGAAAATTTCAAACCAATTGAGACAACTAAGTTCAAACCATGTTTTGTCATTCAACTGACTTTTTTAATCTATTGTTGCAAATAACAAAAGAAAAACACACTACCACAAGGTAAAACACCACTACTGCAACAGCAAAATGCAGTGTGATGCTCAATTTACTCAGCTAAAGGTCTTGGTTGACACGATAACTAAGACATGTAGAGTAGCAGAGAGTTATACAGCTAAGAATCAACCAACTTGGTAAACCCCTTAAAACAATTAGAAAGTACAGGTTTCTAAAGCCTGATGTGTATTTTTCTACCTCAAATACCTTGGGTAACTTAGTTTTTTATGAATTGATTTTTACAATTTTGGTATTGTTGGATTAGTTATGAAATTTCTTAAAAGCATACATTCTTCAAGGTTTAAGCAAATTTACTGTATATGGAATAAGCTATTACATCATGGGAAGACCCTTAGACCTTTCAAAACCTAAGACTTTTTTTATATTGAACAAAATTAGGAAATGGCTAGATTCATTGCCAGATCACGGCATATCAATGATCATTATTTCAAATGCTTATACAGTAGGTACTATCATTGACTATGGTACTAGTATACCAATCATTTTTTTAATTTATATAAAACCAGGAAATTCTTATTTTAAATAAGTACATTTATTATTACTATTTTTTTCGAATCTCTGTTTTAAAAGCCTGTTTAAATTTTTTTAGTTAATTTCAATTTTTTGTACATTTAATTTTGAATTCTCATCCTCATCGCTTCCGCAAGACTACAGACCAATTAGCATTCTTCCGGCCTTTTCTATAAGTTGAAGTTTTCCTAAAAGAAATTTATAAGGAAATAGGTTTAGCTCTTATTGATAAATTCTCAGACAGATCAAATAACGTAATACAAAAATTCAAAAAGTCAGTCAATGCCTGGTTGTTTAGACTATTTTGTGGTTTGCAGGAAGCCTTTTAAATTGAAATTTAAAGAACTATTAGTTTCAGTTAATTGACTTTGGTATTCACATATGTGTGAAATTATTTACGTGATCCATTGCAGAGTTTATCAAAGTGTGGTCCCCTAGGGGTCCGCGGGCAGGTTTTTGGGGGTCCGCAAAAAACATTCTATTGAAATTTATTTTTAATTACTCACACCAAAAGCGCCTATTTTCTGAAAATAACAGTTTCTGTTTGCATTAAAAAATGTATACGAAGCAAGCTCAACACATGCCTAGGAGCAGGGAAATATGGGGTTAATGGGGGTAGGGGGTCCGTACTACACACATAATTAATTACGGGGGTCCTTGAGTAGGTGAAGTTTGAGAACCCCTGATCTATTGTATGTTATATATTCAATGATCCAAAAATATTCACATGTTTATATGATATTTTTGTTTTATTTTGAACTACGGTAATGAACAAATACAAAACGATTTCCAGAGAGTTTGTATACACGCTGTATACAAACAATACAAAACTTGTAGGGAAATACAATGAAATACAGTACCTATTGTGTTTGTTATAAACAATAGCTTAGTTTGAAGAGTATTTATTCAACTGACGTCTTACCTTCAAATGTAACTGAATCAGAGGGTTTTTATAAGGATTTTTGGAGGATGCCTGGAAAGAGGAGTAAATGATAAAGTAAAAAATAAAAACCATTACATATTTAAAAAAAAAAAACTATGCCTATAGACTGGGCTGTAAAACCATACACATATATTTGAAAATTATTGTGCAAGTGTCGGGAGATGAATGAAAAGGAGAAAGGAGAAAACAGACGGAGCCAATCATAAACTACAACAACTACCACTGCAAACTTGCAGGCTAAGCAAATTTGTATTAGTCTGATTGGATTTTCACTAAAATATTTCCTTAACATGTCATGTTTATTCCCTATTAAAATAGGATTAAAAAATTTGGTTTAATGAGTACCTAGATTGCTGCTTTAAGGAAGGTAATAAAGAGTGTTTTCAGTGAAATGTTAATAGCTTAGGCCTATGTAATAAATCTGTCTAATTTGATCAAAATATAGCCTATCCATAAACCAGCAAACTACAACAGTAGACTTATTTTCCATAAGAATAACATAGAAATTTTATTTTATCCCAAACCATTAAGCTACAATCATGCTTCAATATATATCATTTTTAAAGATCTACAAAGTGGTCATAAAAAACTGCAACATTTTATATTTTGAGGGTTAAAAAAGAGAATAAGGCAATTTTTAAACCCCTAAAACCCCATTCTCCACTGTCCCTCCACACTGACTCACATCTCTCTTAACTTGGTCATACCATCTCATTTTTGGTCTACCCAGTGGATGCTTTTCAGTTGGTACAGCAGAACATACTTCCTTTAGTCTTGTTCCTTCTTGCCTTCGCAATACATGACCTAGCCAACCTAATCTTTTTGTCTTTATCAAAGCTATTATATCAGGGTACTGGTATAACGCTCGTAGCTCTCTGTTTTTTCTAATCCGCCATTCTCCTTCATCGTTTACTGGGCAGAATATTTATTTATTTATTACTTAGTACAGCAGATATACAATGAATTTACAATACCAAACTGCATAAGCCTTAAAAAAAAGGCTTGTCCGCAGCGTTTCTTTTAATACTAATTGTCTTTTCCATCTTTATCTTGGTCTTGAGTCAGTGTGAACTATTAACTGTGCAAAAATATATTTCCTGCTTCTTAAACAGTAACGAATTTGGCTTGTAACATTTTTACATGATTATATTTTTCTTAGGACCTTGTTTTCAAAAACAATCAAGCGTCCTTTATTTTTCTTGGATGTCCTATACCATCTATCGCTTCCATACAATAGCACTGGTTGAATAATGGTTTTATATAATATTCTTATTTTTGTATCAGATGATAGGAGTTTTGATGACAGGAACTTCATACATGCACCTAAACATTTATTGGCATTTGCTAACTTACTTAATATTTCTGTATCTTCTATGTTAAAGCTATTTACAGTAACTCCTAGGTATTTAAAGCTTTCTACTGGTTCAATTAAATAGTTGGCTATATTGAAATTTGTGCCTCTATTGATGGGATGTTGTCCAAACTTTATTATTTTGGTTTTTTCTTCATTTAGTTCCAAACCCACTTTTTTTACATTCTTGAATAAACTTGTCAGCTAGAAAACACAGATCTTCCGACTTTTCAGCCAATATCACAGTGGAGATGGCAGCGGACAGAGAGGCGTGGAAGAGGCTGATCTACGAGGCAAAGAATCGACTGCGATTTGTAGCACCCCAGCAGTAAGTAAGTAAAACCCCATTCATATTGGCCGATCATGCTGGTTTACAAACTCAATTTAATAGTAAAGTAGGTATTCTTTTACTTTCACATTTGTTTACACATTTGTACCAAGTTTAATCAAAACTAGTGTACATGTTGCTCGAATTCGAGCAATTGTAAAGTCTTAAAGGAGTTATTGCAAAACGAATAATAGTCATATTTACAATGAGTTTAAAAGAGTCAACTCAAAGATTACCGGTGTGTATCCATCCCGGACCATGTTTATCTTCGTTATTGATAAACCTAAAGCATTCCGGCCGGTTTTCTCCTTCTCAAAATGCCTCGCTGTACAGGCAACACAGGTCATTGATAGAGGGCCAATTATTGAGAACGAAAAGTCGTTTTGGGGTAGTGTTGGGGCGCATTTGTAACCTAATAGTTGAGATTGTCCAGGGTCAGGTGCTGACTGTGATGAGTAAGCCTGTTACGCGCCACTGATCAGTAGCTGCGGTCGTTATCACGATTACACCTCCTGTCTATGTTTCGTTGTCGTCGCGTCCGAGTCATTTAAAAGAAAAAAAAACTACAAATAAACAAATTATAGCTACACAAAAAAACGATAAATGCACACATTTAAGATACAACCATACTAACACGATCCGTCTTGGGGGTTATGTTTACACAAACTCAAATAGTAAATAAATGTACTCAATGCGTTTCATTGAATTGAAAAATAATTATCAGCAATTAAATTATACAGCTGATCAAAATGTAAACAATTATGTTCTTCATAAGGATAACATGGGAACTTACAAAGCCACTGGGGCAGAGCCCAAGGGACTTTTTCAAAAATGTAAAGTCAGTTTGCAAATCTACGCGACACGCTCTTTCCAATGAGATGTCAATGGATAAAATCTGTTAAGAAATGGTGGAGGAGTTCAACCGACAAAGTTTCATGTAGCGTATTAATTATATAGATCTGATTTTTAACTTGAGTTATCGTGATAAAGGACACACAAATCTAGACCTACCTGTGTAAAAGAATTTGAATGGATTGTGTTTTTGGGCTCTGTGAACATCAAGAGACCTCTGGTAATAGGTTAATGGGAAATTTGCTAACAGAAGAGAGTGGCAAATCAATTCAATTGCGTTGTTTGCGTTGCGCACAAAACAACATCATGGAAAGTTTTTACTTCAAGTCGAACAGTTAAACACGTTGAGTGCGGTCGTTCCCGATCGGGAACGCTTGGTAATGCCTTTTGTATATCTTCGTATTTTTCTCTAGCGTCGGTCAAAAGCGGACCTATACCACGTTAGCGTGTAGTGTGTGACTTGCATTTTGTTGTGGTGTAGGTTGGTGGTAAATTTCCACGTAGAATCCCCATCTGGCAAGCTTAAAAATCTTGTTCCGTCTTTTTTTGGCAATAAAATTCCAATGGGACCGGCTACGCTCCAAGCAGTGCAGCTATCTGAAGGTGTTCAGCGAACTACGTCGACTCTCGTCGTAAAGCAGGACATCCCATCCATTTTGTTATTTGCTAATCGTCAGACCGAAATTGGAAAGCCAATCACACGCGGCAATTGGGTTTGTTCGACGCTGTGGGCTGCGCTGCACTGGGGATACGCCTGCCCCGAAATTGGAAAGCCAATCACACACGGCAATCGGGTTTGTTCGACGCTGTGGGATACGCCTGTCATTTGACATGCCGCAGCGAACGTGATAATTAAACTCTAAGTTTGCAAAATGAAAAAAAAAACTGAATAGGCCTAAAGGCCTAACCATACAACTGACTGTTTTGGCAAGCTCAAGGCAAAAGACTTGTATCTTTGACTATTGACAGTTAGAACTAGAAATTCCATCCCCATGTTAAAGTTGTCGCCAGTTTTTTTCATCTAAATTTATATAGCTAGATTGAGTCACCAACAGATTGCACTGAAGTAAACTGATTTCTGTCGAATATGCTCACTTTTTAAACAAGTCAAACTGATAGGACCACTTATTGTAAGTTATGTCACGCCTAACTAAGTTGTGCTAACAGACACACACACACACACACACATAAATATAAATATATTAAATGAATTTGAATGGATGGTGTTTTTTACCTCTGGCGACATCAAAACAAAAAATAAATTGGTCCTGGGTTTAGGTCGTACACCATGAAACCTACAGTAGCTTATATGGGAAATTCGCTAAAAACATGATTCTTTTGGTCTGAGTAATTGATTTCACTAGTAAAGAAGAGAATCCTTATTTTACAATCCATGTCAACAGTTGGGTCTGACAACTTACCTTCAGTCTGTCACCAGAAGCACAAGTGTGAGCCAACCGTTCACTGCCAGCCAGATCCACCAAGTTGATCTTACTGCAAACACTTGGTCGATCCTACCACACAAAAGCAACAGCAAACATTAGCAAATCTATATTTAACACAATTATGGGTTCCTCTGTAACATCCTTTTTCTGCCTGTTCTACTAAACCGTTTTCTATGAATGAGGTATCATTTTAAAGTTCTAGTGCAGGGACCAATGGTATTTTAATTGTAATTTTAAAGGTGATTACCTCCAGTTGAATACTAAAACCAACTCAAATTGTAAACAAAAAATGAAACAGTTTATGATAATCGATTCAAAACAGGCTACTTTTAATAACAATTGTTTATAACCTGATTTAAATAGGTTAATTTACAATTTAGTAGGCCTTGTAGATCAACGATCTACATATTTTATATTAGGGATGTGATTCTCAATACCACCGATACTTGACTGTTGGTATCAGTATTGAAAATCGATCATCAAAAGTCAATTCCAATACCGGACCGATACAAGTCACCTTTGCACGACTGGAAAATGACCGCTATTGCCGCGAACGTGCAAGACTATGACGACGTTTCCGTGACTGCGGGAGACAACAATGACGTCTACAAGGCCGCGGGATGTGTTCATGATTTCGCCGCAATTGCGGAAGACGAAGATGACGTTTCTGTAATCGCGGGAGACGATAATGACGTCATCACAACTGCGGAAGATGTTCATGATTCCCTATCGCGGATGACGAGGATGAAGTGTCCGTGACCGCGGGAGACGATGATGATAATGTCCACACAGCCACAGAAGATTTTTATGATTTTGCCCCTATCGCGGAAGACAATGATGATGTCCACACGTTGCGGAAGATGGTCATGATTTTGCCGCAATCACGGACGACGACGTTTCCGTGACTGAGGGAGTAGATGATGGTGTCTACACGGCCACGGGAGATGTTCATGATTTTGACGCGATCGCGGACGACGACGTTTCAGTGACCGCAAAAGACGATGATGAGGTTTGAATTGAGGAAGATATTTACAATTTTGCAGTGATCCCAGAAGACGAAGATTATATATCCACGACTGCTGGCGATGATAACAATATTAGCTCGAGTTTGGCTTGACAAAAAATGATAGGCTAGCACACCCTCATAATTCATTTTCTATTTAATATGGTAAGTTTTTTATGTGTTTAGAAAGGTTTAAACTTAAATTGGCTAGTTGGAATGCATCATTGCTGCATAGTGCATACATTTTCACCCCATTTCCTAAAAAATTCCTAATGGAAGGACATATGGAAGGACTAATGGAAGATAGGGGTTGGTGTAGTATAGTATAACCAATCCATTCAGACAATTTGGTAAAACAAAAAAATCTTATCTGTATCAGTATCGAGAATAGATTTTTCAGGTATCAGTATCGGTATCGAGAATCAATAAATTTTGGTATCGACACATCACTATTTTAGTATTTTATATCATGGAAATTAAATTAGTAGTTTTATTCATCTAATAACTGTCTTCAACAGCTTATTTTTATATATCATGATGTTATTCTTGAAAGTAAAAATAGTTTGTTACTAAACTTTAAAGAGTGTTGTGCTGAACAGAATCTGTTAAGAAAACAAACATGCTCAAAACCTGAATTGAAACTTTGAAACGTACAATGCTGAAATTATGAAATTTATAATTTCCAATATTAAGCAAGGGGAAGCAAGTTGTAGCAGTGCTTCGGTCCTCGAGGTCCCAGGTTCAAATCTTACCAATCACCAATAGGTTTTATCTATGTGATAATGTTGCAACCCTCTAGGACTAGCCTCAAGTTAGAGAGCCTAGCTTATGTGAAAGTAGGACATTATATTATACTCACATCATCCTGTGATTGTGTCAGTGTGATTGTGAAGATGGAGTGGGACCGAGAGCTGTTTACATTCATCTCTGTGGCTGCCGTAGCCTTGTGACTGTTGCCTATTCTCAGCCAGTCCTACAACCAAGCATAACCATAAATTAATAAAGAACATGCTTGTCAAACTCTGACAAGTTCAAACCATCATCAGAGGCACTTGGATTCTACGCCCCTTGTAAGAGATACCATAGACTAACCAACACAAGAAGACTTGTCATCCCATTGTAAATTTTGACGTTTATTTTTCGTGTCTAGTTCATGTACGGTGACACTGGGCGCTAGTGTAGACAAAATTTTGTTTATATTATTTTAGGGTTAATTTCTTGATTTGTGCTTTACTGTTTGGTTATATAACTGGGAGACAAGTTACTGTTTATGATTCTAGATCGTATTATTTGGTTAAACGAGGTTTTAAATGACTGTATTAACGGGAAACAAATTGTAAACAAAACACGACCTCTACATAAACCGTACAGAACTAACAATAAAATTGTCTTCAGCTGTTCCATTAGGATGAGAAATCTACTTGGGGGAGTATGTTTTATCTATGGAGATACTTAATTTTTGTCCTGTTTTACTACTAAATTGCACTACTATACATATACTGTCAAAGAGACCATGATTTCAATTTATATAATTTTTGTTTTCATTTCTAACTTTGGTTATTTGGCCGAAAGAATTTTAGGTTGTTTGGGCTGGATTGTCTTCTTGATAAAAGTGACATTTCCAGATAGGCCTAATGTACATACTTTGACTTCTTCTAAAATGAGTTATATACTTAACAAAATTTGATTTAGTAAGGATTGCTAAATTGAGGAAAGGTAAGCTTTCAGCTTTTTTTGTGTTTTTCAGCTGATTTCGCTGTGTAGTGGCCGAAGTAAGTTACATATAAATCCATCTCACAACCACAGGCAGTACAATCAAATCTAGCAGACCACCACTGCTACAAAACTCTATGGTATTTATAGTCCACAATCCGCAACAACTGACTTTTTGATGTGAAAAGAGTATTGTTTGCGACAAACAACTCAGGTTACAGGTTGCAGTTCAGTTGTGATCTGCCAATTGAATCACTTTGTAATAAAAGCTGAAATAGTAAAAATATTTTTTGTTGAGTTTTTTTCAAAATAAAAACATTCACATAAGGAAATAAGCCTAATCCCAAGTACTTGTGACATAATGTATTAGTCCTAATACTTTTTTCGATCACAGATGCAGAATTTAAGTACATAATTCAAGTAGCCTACTGTTGAAAGGATAGGATCGTTGTGAAGATAGCAGGCTTACCTGAATGGGAAAGAGTCAAAAGTGACACAAGAAAGAAACACTTTACTTTACTTTTAAGTAGGCCTATATTCAAAAAAATATAATATTTCACTATTTCACTGGATCCTTCCTTAGATAAAAATGAGTGAGTGACAGTGTGGTGTTTTTGAGTTTCTTGTCAGGTAAACTTTTTATCCTTATAAAAACAAAAATAAAACCATTGGGATTTTACTTGCACTCTCTCTAAACTTGACAAATTTCCCCAGGAAAAAGACACTGTATGTTCTGTGTGTCTTCTGTATGTTGTGGACGTTGTGGTACACCTGTACTTCTTCAATGTAGGCTAGCTGATATCCTCTTTATTCTACAATTCAATATGGGTTTTATTAAAGCTATTTAAAACGAGCCCCAACTCACCTGCAGTGATCTGAAAGAGCAGACTTTACGGACTGTCAGATCCACCACGTAGGGCCCCATTTCCGGGTGTTCCCTCACCCTCAATGGAGCAGCTCTGCCGCTCTCCTCTGACGGACGGAGCAGATCGTGTATCTTCTCATTGTAAATTTCAAAATAGCTTATTTCGATTTGTGCACTCAAATAATCCTTGGAGCCCTCAACTGTGTTGAAAATCTGTTTGGAGAATCTTGGGATGATTCCTGCTTTCTCAGGAACGTCTTCAATCGATTTACTTTCTTCACCCATCATGCTTATCGGAAAGACAGATTGTTAAACAAGCTTTCACAAATATAACACAAATATTATACTTAATTCATAACAAACAGTTTGTAGTTAAATTTAGTGCTGGTCCAAACCAGAAATTTCAAATCTCGTATCCTAACTGAAATCAAAATTGTAATAATCGGTTCTCAAATGCCATAACCTAAACGCAAAACTTACTCGACTGGTTAAGGTAATAAAAAAATACTAGTAATAAAATGCTCATCATACAATCCAAACCAAAAGAAATTGGACTCCTGCCCCTATGAATTATTATATGAATTACATGGCTAATACACTTCAAACCTAAAAAACCATTATTTTTTATAAACAACAAACAATGAAATAGCCAAAATTAACCTCCTGACACTGATGTAATACAGGGTGGCTACTGCATCAGTAATTTTAAATTCCCTGACTTTTCCCTGACCAATATATAATTTTCCCTGACCAAAAATACAGGTGATTTGCGTTAAATTAATGTTCTTACTTAGATATAATCACTAAATAAAACATAAAAATTACTGACTTCAAGCTATAGAAGCGTTTTTCAGGTTTTTCATTAATAGATTGCTGAACGTAAAAAGTCGAATAAATAGGCTAGGCCTACTAAAATATAAATATTTTATGGTTAATAACTGATGGAGTAGGCTTACCCAAATATATACTAAGATCAAGATGATAAGAAGAAAAAAGAAAGTGAAAAAATATAGGCTAGCCTATCACTGCTAGTTTTGGGCTATTCAGATAATCAGATATAGGCCTACTCTATAACATAAATAAACTTGCTGCTGGTATTTTGAGTAGAATTTTATTAGTATACTTACAGCTGTAGTAGTGCTGCTAAGTTTTCAACCACTCCTATTAAATCAAAGTTTATGTACAATCTATTTACACTGCACTCCACGAACATTTGTACAACTTATTTACATTTTTTCACATCCACATCATTAGTTTTTCTTTACAATACTTTTGATCTGCTCATTCAGCAGATCAGTTTGTTTTTGAGCTTCTTCCAGAATTTTTATTTTCTTAGTTTCTAATTCCTTTAAAAGTAGCTGCGCTTTCCTCTTATTCTCATTCTTCTCTGCTTCTTCTGTCATAACTCTCTTCTTTTCTTTTGAAGCTTCGACAAACCTGGAATGGGCATTTCTGGCAGAATGTATGAGGAGCTTATCAACATCCAAGTTTTGTATGCCACCCTTGGTTGAAATTGTGTCATAAACGACCCTCCTTGCTACGAGAAGTTCACATTTCATGTTTTCCATTACACATTCTGAATTAACTGAAAACCCTCTTTCAACATTTGCGTTTCCATGAGAAAGGGTTGAGACCAACTTTAAAACTTTAAGTAAATGTGGACTTGAGCCAACGGTTACAAGATTTTTCCAAAACTTGTCAAGACGAACATTTCGATTGTAGGCTTTTAACTGGATCATGGACTCAGGCTGCTGACAAATAGTTTCATACTCCCTCATGACTTTGTCCACAACTGTGCTAGTGATCCAATTATTCTCCAACAAAATTGTCAATAGTAGCTCCATCCTCTTCTTTGCGAGACCAAAATTCACTGTGACTACTTGTGGATCGAAACATGATACTGCTCTAGTCAATTTAAAAAACAAAGGTGACTTTATTAACATCTTGTTGATAAATTTTAACAAAGCATTTTTACAACTTTCTCTAAATTTCAAAATTTGTTGGTCAGAGATATTTTTTTTGTTGACTTTTGAAATAGCATTTTTTGTGGCGATACCAATAGCTACATCTTTACAGGGCAATAGGTTACTTTTCTCCAATTTTACCTCTTTCACAGATTTTGCTCTCTTTAATTCTTCTGGATTTACAATTCTATCCATCTGTATTTTTACCAGTGTAGTCAGATCGTTAAAAAGGAAAGGCGCCATTGGGACATCACTTTGGAATTGTGTCAAAAAAGGCTCCACATCAGAAGCAAGACCTTTGAAAAATTCCAATTTAGCATGAAGCAACGGATCTGATATAGCCTTTGAAATTACATCAAAACTGTAGGTGTTGATGGCTTTGGATTTGTTTACTTCTTCAACAAAAAGTTTCAGGCTTGGAAGAATGTCTATTGCTCGCTGAGCCACATCAGCATTGTGAAGCCACCGAACTGAACAAAACTTCTTGGGAAACAATTCAGACTTTGTAACAAAAATGAAGTGAGCCCTCCTAGCCGGACTGTCCTTAAAGAGGTTATACAGGGCTCTAAGGAATGGCACGATACCCCAACCTGTTTCTATCATTGCTGACTTAAAAGCATTGTGTAAAGTATGAAGTCCACAGCTGCCCAAATCTAAGATTTTTTTGTCATCTGGCTCACTGTTCATGTCATCTTTAAAGTCTTTCAAAAATTTAAAGTTAACATTAGGTCCGTCCATAGAAATCTGAAGAATTTTCTTTACGTCTACAGATTTAAGACCATCTTTAAAGGCATTGACTAGATCAGCAGCTGTTGCACGGCCTAAGAACTCAGAAGTTAAATAACGGGTTACTACTTCATCAGAGGTATCATCCCAAAAGCGGATATTAATATCCATCTGTTGCTTTTGGGCAACTTTGTTCAATGATTCATCGAATCCAACAACTAAAAATTCGCATGTGTTTACTTTCTGTATCAGTTCTTTTTGGAAATGTGGGGCAATGCCATAAGCAAGAAGGTAGCCTACTTTGTCACGCTGCATTTGCATCTTTTGTGCTATTTCACTGTCAGGGAACATATGCTTAAAAATACTTACATCACTGCCTGCAGTTCGCAGAGACTTATGCGTCATAACACTTTGTATAGCCCATATAATTTCAGATTTTGTAACACTGTCATTAAACAAAAATCTTTTTAGCCCACGAAATGTGTTGGCATCTTCTTGAGTAGGCCTAACCATAATAGCCGTATCCGTAGAGCTTGAAGCACTTGAGTCCGTCGTTGTTGCTTGCTGTTCACTTTCTAAGGGTTTGGAACCAGACGGGACCGATTGCGACTCACTAGGTCTAGTTAAAAAACATTTAACAGAAGCAGACTGTTGACGAGCTCGCATGTTTTTCTTGTGTTTTTCGCCTGTCATGTGACTCGTAACAGCGCGGCGGCCCATATTACTCAAATTAAATGTTTTTTGGCAAACTTTGCACTTAGCCACTTTTGTGTTTAGTGGTACACGCACAAGCCACGAACTAAACTCAACCTCGTTTAGCCAATTTTCTTGAAAAACTGTCAGTTTTGACATCGTTAATATAATATTAGGACGAAACGATTAATTAATACGACACTCAAAACCAAATCATACTGAAAAAACAATCGAACAATAACATTTACATTGCGCAATACCGGTAAGTAATGGCCGACCAAGACTCTGACTACTAACCACTTTTCGTGTCGTCAACGTCCGATACGAACTCCCCCACTTTCCATAAAAATGGAATCGCCCAGCCGTTGTCTTGACAACGGTCTCGTTATCGCAATCGCAGTCGCTGATTCGCTATGAGTCACTGAGCACGCGCATCATCATAATCGTCACTACCCACCCCACCACCCACCAAATTCAAGAATCCGACATTCTATTCTTTGTTTTTGAGGTGTTCTACTAAAAAACAAATTTCAATATCAACTAACTATTATTATTAATCAGTTATGTATATATATTTTATTGAAAAACATACTGTAACATCTTACTTTACATCACGAAAAAATGATAAATTGGTTTTTACAAATGTTTGCAGAAACTACGTGAACAAAATAGTCCGTATTTAAAATTCGAAGTATGTTGTAAATGTTAGGCTGTAAATAACTAATGCATTAGTGTGAGACATTTAGTCATCCGGCCTGTAATTTTGATAACAGAAAGAAAGAAATATATTGAGAACAACGTTAGAACAGAGGTAGAGTGTGTACGTGCGTGTGTGCGAGAGAGAGAGAGAAAGAGGGAGAGGGAGAAGGGAGACAACCGTAGAGAAACACAACAAACATAGGCGAATGGCTGGAGGGAGGGAAAGAGAAGATTGAGCAACGAAAGTGACCTTGAGGCATACTTAGCGACGTAGCTGTTGTAATGCGGGTGGTGGTGAAGGGGGGAGGGGTGGCAGGCGGCCTCACGGGGTCTCACAAAAACGATTACACCACTCAAAAATCTTTTTTAAACTCAAATATTTTTACTACTCGGGTACTCGACCAACCCTAGATAGCATAATTATTTGACGTTCATTCAGTTAAGTCATAAATTATCGGTAGGCTAAAAAATAATTCTTGCAATCAATATTAACCCATTATTTATTTTGGTAATGTTTATATTAATCATTAATTATAGTTATTTGTAGAAGAAACAAAATTTATTTAATTATTGAAGTCATTTTTAATAACAATAAAGCCAAGGAGCAGAGTGGGATTGGGCCACTGTCCCCCGCCCGATTTCCTCGCTGCTACTAGCAGACGAAACCTCTTGTCAACACGATAATGCGGACTCACGGCGGAAACGTATCCACGCAACAACATTCATTCAACTTTAAGTAATGTAAATATTCTGTGGTTATACTTTTCTATTGTAATCATCAATATATATCGCCAATCTACTTGTTTAACACAATTATTAAAATGCATATTTTCCCTGACCGTTTGCAAATTTCCCTGACTTTTCCAGAATTTTTTATATCCCTGACTTTTCCCGGTTTTCCCGGTTTTCCCGGTCGATCGCCACCCTGTAATAACATAAATATGAGACCAATACTTATTGTAATATACTTAGTCTTAAATCTCGAAACCAGGGGTGGGGTGGCTGTGATAGGAACAGATGATTTAGTATACTGTGATTTACTGATGTTGCACACATAATGTGGGGATTAGTTGTGGTGTTTCTGGACCATTTGATAAATAAAGAAGGTTGAATTAAAGGTTGTTGCCTAGTGGTCGAGTTTCATAATAACTGGATTAGGCCTATGCACATTTTGACACTTCCACCATCATCAGATATAAGAACTAAATTTACCTAAAGAGATGTCAGAAGGTCAAAAACAAAGCAAATTAACACTTAATAGACTGTTATTTAACATATTTTATATCGAATAAGTTATTCTTTGTGACACCTGCACAGGCAGGACAGTATGGAGGTATGTGGTGAGACTGAAACCAAAAATCTAAGGCAATAGTTGGTAGTTTAACCTTTTTTATAAAAAAAATCATTTTATATCAACTTCTGACCATTAGGGAAAGGGTAGGCCGTATCCGGATTGTATCCCACTACTTGTCTAATGCCAGGTTAATTGTTACTTAGCCAGTCATTATCACATTAACACGTTGAGTGCGGCAGGCATTCAAACAGGCGCTCGCAAATGGTGGCAATGCCCCGGCGCGGCACCATAACAGCGAACGCAATTGGCATTCAAATATTTCAATCTGACGAATAACAAAAGAGCAGCGGTGACTGTTCTACGTTACCCCGATATTGGACTTAGTTCCCTTAAACACCCAAAGGTAGCAGCACTGCCTGGATCAGTAGTCAGTGGCTTTGTAATGTGGCTTGAAGAGAGAAAATCCCCGAAACCGGGACAAAAGCATTGTAAGACGAGGTTTTTTGGGAAATTTTAGTACCAACCTACACCAAAATAAAGCTCATATTCTAAGCTACAGGCTAGCAACGATTATAACGCTCCCCGGCAATGGCTGAGCTCATACTGAGCTAATGTAGTGGGGGTTGCGCAACTACATCAATTGATGTAGGCCGATAGGAGCAATTGATGTAGTCAGCATTATACGTCCTAATTTCTGTTCACATAACGTTAGTTTATATAAATAATTTAATACTCCATATTTATTTATGATTACAGAATGCATACCTGTAACTCTTTCCAGAACCAGTCTGACCGTAGGCGAAGAGACAAACGTTGTAGCTGTGGAATGCAGCATCTACCAGTGGCTGGACCATGGTGTCAAACACCTGTTGTTGGTCACAGTTGGAGTCGAAGCAGTAGTCATATGAGAAGCAATGTTCTGATCCCAGGCCATGCACTCTCACTGTACCATCGTCTACAGTGACTACACTGCGCTCGCTGCAACACAACAAATTAGCTGACAATAAGTACAACAAACCTGCAGACTAATCAAATTGCTAGTTGCTTTACTAGATGTTATTCAAATAGACTACCGGTACTTAATTCCCTATAGCCTACACCGTTCACCAAATTTAGGCGGTTTTAGGGGAAGAGATCTATCTGCTCCACTTGGCCCTATCTTTAAAACAACAGCTGAGGTTTGCCAAAATGTTAATCAGCTGGGACATACATTAATACCAAATAAATTAAATAGTGGGGCAACTTCTCCTCAAACCGCCTAAATTTTGTGAATGGGCTATAATAAAAGCCCAACTGGGTTTATATCTTTATTACACTTGTACCAATGCCCATTATAATAATACTGGCTCAATATGTACTTTGACAAGTGGTCAACGACCCTGAAATATTTCAAATTTAAATCAAAATGTGTAAGTGAATATAAATGTGTTTCCTTTTGAAACTCGCCCACTGTACATGTAAGCCTGCCTCTATAAAAAATACCCCCGCCGCAGCAAACCTGCCGACTAAGCGAATTTCCATTTTTCTGAATTGATTTTCAGTTAAATATATTTTAATAACTTTAGGTTTAACGAGTACCTAGGTTTGCTGCTACAAGGAAACTAATAAAGTGTGCTTTTGAGTAAAATATTGATAGCTTAGTGCAAAATAAATAAATTTGCCAAGTTAGATCAAAATATATCGATAAACAAGCAAACTACAACATTTGACAATATTCTCCATAAGCATAACATGGGAATTTTAAATTTACAATTTTTTTAAATTTTCTCCGTTACTAATAACCGAAAAAAAAACTTTTATATACTAAATTATTTGTTTTTTAAGCTCTTTAAAAAGATCTAAAGAGAAATTGGGAAATTTTGTGTTTTGAGGGTCAAAAGTGAGAAAACCCAATTTTTACCCCATATAACCCCCCATAAAACCCCGTTCCTATGGTCCGATCATGCTGGTTCGCGAACTCATTCAAGTTTATCCCGAAACCAAATTTCATCAAAATCGGACCAAAATTACTCAAGTTATCGCGTTCACAGACGTATATATATATATATTATTTTCTTGCATTTTTAGGGCTACTAATATAATAAAATTAAAACATATATAACAAAGTACCCTTTTAGTAATTATTTTATTTTTCATGACAAAATAAAATAATTACTAAAAGGGTACTTTGTTATATATGTTTTAATTTTAATATATATATATATAAATCTATATATATACTAGCTGACCCGGCGAACTTCGTATCGCCTAAGTTATAGGTTTCCCCTAAGACAGACCGATGGAAAGAAAGTACCGTTACGTTTAATTTTCAAGATGATCTCGTTCGCATCGCTCAATCACGTCCTGGTTGAAGTTCGTTCGCTACGCTCACTCACCTTTGGGTTGGAGCTCGTTCGCTACGCTCACTCACCTTTAGGTTGGAGCTCGTTTGCTGCGCTCACTTGCCTTCAGGTTAGCTCGTTCGCTACGCTAACTCGTCTCCAGGTTGAAGTTCGTTTGCTACGCTCACTCACCTTTGGGTTGGAGCTCGTTCGCTACGCTCACTCACCTTTAGGTTGGAGCTCGTTCGCTGCGCTCACTTGCCTTCAGGTTAGCTCGTTCGCTACGCTAACTCGCCTCCAGGTTGAAGTTCGTTCGCTACGCTCACTCACCTTTTGGTTGCAAATTAGCTGTTGTCATAAATGTAAAAGAAATAATAGTGCTGCACCATGTTGGTAATCCTTGTAACTTTAATGCTATTGAACATCATAGAACAGAACCAACTTGTTTAATTGAAACAGCTGTTAAGATTCATTAATTCCATTTCTCATAAGGTTAACATGGGAAACTCCAGAGCCACTGGGGCGGAGCCCTTTTAAGAATTTCGAAACGGGAAATAGTTTACGTCCGATTCGCATACCTACAGAATTTACACACCAAATTTCATAACGATCGGTGAAGTCGTTCCGGAGGAGTTTGCAGACAAACACTGTGACACGAGAATTTTATATATTAGATATATATATACATATATAAAAATTTGAACGAACGGTGTTTTTGGCCTCTGGGGACATCAAAATGAAAAAGTAAATTGGTCCCGGGTCTAGGTCTTACCGTGCCACCTACGGTAATAGCTACTTCCCTATAGGGAAATTCGCTAAAAAATCACACCTAATCTGGCCTGGAGCCCTTTACCAAGAATACCTAACATCACACATTATTTGATTATGGAAATATAGGTGGTATGGAGTCATTACACTGAGATTTGTTATACAATTGCTGTACTAACCATATAACTTACAGTACAGCACTTGATGCTTACAAATCTTTAAAATGTATAAACGTTAGTTAAGAGGACTTTTTTCTACTCTAGTAAACCACTAATTTTATTAATATTGAAATTATGAGTTAAAGTTAAATAACCAACCTACTTTTCTAACATAGGCCATAAATATATGTACAGTTAACGAGGATGGATCACTTGTATTACTACTAACCCTGGGAAGGTAGGTCGCAGTCTCACAGCCACTGTGAGATTTGTAGTCTCACCCACAACAGACTGAGTGTCTAGCAGCACGGGTGAGAAACACCCAGGGGTGGCCTCGTCTTCAAACCTCACCCGATGTTTGGGTGTCATCATATTTTGACTGTGAGACCGAGAAAGAATTGGACGGGCCGGGCTGTCGGTGGATGCAGCTATGAACCAACATTTAAGTTAACATACTTTGTCTACAGTTGTCATACAAAGTGGCATTTGGTTCACTGAATTAGTGTGCAAAACAGCTGATTTCTCAACATTTTATTTTGCCCACTAATTTTCTACACTCCGGGTGGTAACTAAGTAAAATTTATGCTAAGTTAATTTAATTTGAAGTTGACAATAATATTGATTATCACGTGCATCATGCTTCAGTAGGCCTAATGCAGCTCAGCCATGATATTTTTTAGTTGCTGTAGACAATTTAATGCTGTAGACAATTTATTTGTGCAACTAATGAGCAAAGTGGCACTTTTTGAAATTATAGAAAATGTTGGTAGCTTGGCAAGTCTTGTGCATAGATTTTAGTTAGTTAAAAAAAAAAGATTTGAACACTATTGCACATTCATTTGTCTACAATTTCAAGTTGTATAAATAATAGTCCAATATGTTCAAATTGTAATATGATCAGTTGCTATAATACACCATTGCATTGACCAAAGAGATATTTAATGGCTTACCAAGAGTGCCAGTAGACACAGATCGTCGCAGCTTGTGTTGAGGTTGAGAGGTCGGAGTGCTGGGACTCAAGGGAACTCGAAACTTGCTTGGACTGGATTGATCAAACCTACTTTTGGAAGACAGGATTCCTTTGATACTGAAAAAAATTTAAATTTCATTAGAGATTTTTTAATTCAAATTATTTACAGAGGGTCCACCCCTCTTCTGTCATCCGGCAGACAAAACAACACCCTCAACGGACTATGACTGTGTTTCTAAATTATTTATACTTAAATGGTACCACTTAAAACTGCAGTTACACTAATATACTACAAAATAACCAAATAACCCTACCAAAAGCCAAAAGCAGACCTACAGACAGACTAAGCAAATTTCCATAAGCCTAATTTGATTTTCACTTAAAATCAACAGGGTCAAAAGTCCCAGTACGGTTAAATATTAAGAAAAATAATAGATAGAGCTACAAAAGTTTGTACAAAGTAGTTACTGGTCTTTATTATTTAAACATGATTCAGTGATAAGCTATCCCTTCAGGGGACGGCCCGCTATTAGTCAGAAGAAAATAATGAAAGTGTTGGTTGATAAGTACATCAAAACAAAGGTTTTATAGTAGAATACAATGCCACAAACCTGATCTCAAAATGGACAACTAAGTCAAAAATACCAGTCGTTCAAAGATTACTTGAATTTCAGAATTTTACCAAACATGGTCTAATAATTGCAAATTCAAGAAATCATTGAACAGCTGTTCCTTTTTTAATTGGTTGCTCCTTTAATAAGGGTTTTTAGCATTGTATTCTACAAATAAAGACCTTTGGTTCAATGTCCATATCGACCTATCCTAACTTTAATCATTTTCTTTTAGCGAATTTCCCATTTAGGGAATTTATTCCCTATATGGGAAATTCGCTAAAAGAAAATGATAGTTATTACCGTAGGTCTCATGGTTAGATCTAGACCTGGGACCGATTTACTTTTTCGTTAAGAGGTCCCCAGAGGCCAAAAACACCATCTGTTCAAATTCATATAGGTATATGTGTTCGTTGAGATAACTCAAGCAAAAATGATCCGATTTTGATGAAATTTTGTACAAACATGTAAACCTACATTTATTCGAACGAGTTCACAAACCAGCATTAATCGGACTATGGGAATGGGGGTTTATGGGGGGTTTTATGGGGTAAAAATTGATTTTTCCCAGTTTTGACCCTAAAACACAAAATTTTACTATTTCTCTCCAAACCATTTTGTAGAGCTTCAAAAATAAATAATTTATTATATTAAAGCGTTGTTGTATGCCCAAAGGTTACGGAGATAATTTTAAAAATTGTAAATTTAAAACTCCCATGTTATTTATTCTTTTGGAGAATACATAAACTGTCGAGTTTGCTTGTTTATGGATATATTTTAATCAAATTTGGTAACTGTCAACATTTCAAAAAAAAAAAAAAAAAACACACCTTAATATCTTCCCCGTAGCATAAAACCTAGGTACTCACTAAAATTGATGTTATTTAAATAGGAAATAAATCTTACAATTTTAAGGGAATATTTTAGTAGAAATCAAGCCGGGTAAATGCAAATTCGCTTAGTCTGCAGGTTTTCTTCGGCAGGGGATTTACTTCTAGTGGGCGTCCCCCTGAGAAAGGGAAGTATTTAATAGCATAACAAATTCAAGGAATCTTTGAACAGCTGTAATTTTTTAGTGGTTTAGGTATCCCGTCTGTTTGAATTTGGGTTTGCGGCATTGTATTTTCCTAATAAAAAACTTTAATTTGATTTGTACATCAATATGCTTACATTTTAGATTTTCTTCTGACTTCTAGCGGGCCGTCCCTCTGAGGAGGTAGTGTATACCTGAATAATGGGTTGAAATTATTTCAATGCCCAGTAGCTTTGTGCCAAGTTTTGTAGGTTCATCTTTAGGCCTATTATGTTTTGAATTTTTTTATTGTCCTGAGCCTGAGACTTTTCCCCCCCTATATTTAATTAACATTAGGTTTAACGAGTAGGCCTACGTAACTTACATTTAATGCTACAGAGATGGTAATAAAAGTGTGTATTTTAGTAAAATATTACTAGCTTAAGTATTAAATAAATAAATTTACTGAGTTTGATCAAAATATATCCATAAACAAGCAAACTGCATCATTTCACTTAATCCCTATAAGAATAACATGCACATTTTAAATTTAGGCCTACAATTCTTTTTTTAATTTTCTCTGTTTAACTGTACAAAATGCTTCAATAAACTAAATTACTTGTTTTTTAAGCTCTTCTCTGGGGACAACGTAAACAAAACAAAAAAGTAGGCCCTAAATCGGTCCCGGTCCAGGTCTCACCATAAAACCTACGGTAATAGCTTATTCCCTAAATGTGGAATTTGATAAAAATCCTAAAAAGCTAGGCCCTTTTGCTCTATTTTCCATCCTTAAACTCAAACTGTGGCCTATATTTCAATGATTGTTTCAGAAATTTTAGTTCCAGTCTGCCTGAAAGAATTGAAAGGCTCAACAGCTTTGAATAAAAAATACAAATTATGTGCCTAACTTAATTTAAAAATAGTTATCATTTAAAGCGGCTTGTAATAAGTTAGGCCTATGACTTTTTGAACTGATTGCTCCAAAAACTGTACGCCTATATAAATGTAGAGTTTGCCAATGTTTTAGCTGAAGTGTTTGATAAAATTTTAGGCTATACTTTAACTTGTTTTTATTTAACATCTTCATAAATGACATTACATATATTCTGGACGTTAGGTTTCTCCTCTTTGCAGATGACCTGAAACTCTGTTGTGAGATTTCCTCAAAAGATGACAACGCTCGCCTTCAGAGAAACCTTGACAATGTTATTCATTGGTGTCGAATCAACTCTATGGACCTGAATGAGAATAAGTGTGTGGTTATGCAGTTCACACGCTCTTCACAGATGAACTGTTTCAATTACCATATTGGTCTTCAAGTTCTGCAGTCTGTCAAAGAGGTCCGCGACTTGGGGTTTTCTTCACATCCAACCTTCACCCTGTCGCTCACATATCTCGCATCTGCTCCAAGGCCTACTCCGTTCTCGGTTTCATCTTCAGAGCCACCAGAGGACCATTTTCTCTTACCACCATTAAATCTCTCTACATGACTCTTGTCCGCTCAATTCTGGAATTCAACTCAACTGTGTGGTCCCCTTACCAACTGGGATTGGTTAATGAACTAGAAAAAGTCCAAAACCGTTTTCTCAGATTGATCGGAGTCAAGATGGGTTTTCGCTACACTGAAGTTGAAATCAACGAGATCGGTCAGCTTCTTGGCCTCCCGCCGTTGCTTCTTCGAAGAAAGTTGATGGACGCAGTATTCCTCTTCAAGCTAGTAAATGGCTCATTGGACTGTCCTGAGCTGCTGGGAAAGATTGACTTCCACGTCCCTCGTCATTCCAGACATCAACAATTGTTTAAAAGAGATCACTACTCTACCTCTTACATTCAGCACAGTCCAGTACCTCGCCTGATGCGCACAGGGAACAGCATCTGCGGAGACGTCAACTTCTTTGGCCGCAGTGTCTCCTCCTTTAAGTCCGAAACGAGTGCCGTACTCAGAAGAATGCACATGTAGTGAAATCTTGTCAATAATGTCACTCATCTGTTTCTCTTTCTGTTTTACTGTTGAATGGTCTATTTATTTTGTTTTATTGTTAAATAGTCTATTTATATTGTTTTTGTTGTAAATGATCTATATTGTCTTGTGCAAAATGGTTTGTTATGTAGTTTTCGTTGTTAATAGTCTATTTAAAATTGTTTTTGTTGTTAGCCTAAATTGTCTATTTATATTGTTTTTCGTGCAACATGCCTGTACCTATAGCTGTCATGTCCTGTAAATCATGTATATTTATTCATCAAAACTGTGTTGTTATCGCATTTCATATTACTGTATTATATTGTTTTGTCTATTTATATTGTTTTTGTTGTAAATGATCTATATTTGTCTTGTGCAAAATGGTTTGTTATGTAGTTTTTGTTGTTAATAGTCTATTTAAAATTGTTTTTGTTGTTAGCCTAAATTGTCTATTTATATTGTTTTTCGTGCAACATGCCTGTACCTATAGCTGTCATGTCCTGTAAATCATGTATATTTATTCATCAAAACTGTGTTGTTATCGCATTTCATATTATTATATTTCATATTATTTATTAGTATTTCATATACGTTATATTATTTAATTATTGATTGCACTAAAACTATTTCACTTTAAGTCACAAAAAATGTGTACACAATCTCAACTCAACTCTCTTGTAAAATGGCGTTTGCCGTGCATGTAATAAATAAATAAAAAAAACTACAAAATGTAGGCCTAATGAACTTACATGTCGTTATTTCTCATGTTGGACAACTGAGGTTTAGCTCTTGAAGGAGAAGGAGATGGAGGAGGTTTAGCAGGAACTCGATTCTCTTTCCGTTCAAAACAAGACCTCATAGTCTTCACATTTATGTTGGCTGGAATATCGGAACTCTCAGCTGCTCCTTCAAACAGTCCTCTCCTAGAAGTAGGCTTGTTGTCTCTAGAAACAGAAAAAATCATTTGGATTAACTAACATGCTTTTTAAGGGATTAGAACAGGAAAATTTGAAAATTAAAAAACAAATAAATAGAATTACAAGAATCTCAAAAAAGTTACTTGTTCAAAAATGTTCAAAGCATATTGTTACCGGTAGTAATCTTTTAATAATTTTGTGTTGTTTAAAAAGTAGGTGTGACACATAATTTTTTGGCTAATGAAAAATTTTGATTTTCTGCCAAGAGGATTTGAAATATAGGCTATAGCCTATGTGTGCAATAGGTGAGTAGGTGGCTCTGTCGATAGCGCTACTGACTTCAGGCCCATGACAGTGATTCTGTGGGTTCGGATTCTGGTATACAGTCTATTAGGGTAACTAGGCCTACTTTTTATGAGTGCAGTTCAACCTTGAACTGTACTGGCTCACCCTTTGCTTCGCTGGATGTTTTAGGCCTACACACAGGTCCATAGGTAATAAAACTTAGTACCTAATAAAAGTCTGTAATAAAATCTATCTACCTATCATAGCCTATGAGAGCAGGCAAATTAAGTTAGGTAGGTACAGTGTTTTTAGTAAAATTATTTTTTATCCATCTAAGTTGTCGGTCTAAAATTTGTAGGCCTCAGTCTGTTAAAACATTAGATTGATAAAGATTACTGTACTTGAGTTACATAAAAGCTATAACTATAGTAGGCCCTAACTCAATTCTTAACACTAGAGGGTATCAATGTGATTGGTCTAACCTTGCATTTCGCAGTTTTACAACCCCAGAAACTGAATACAGTTTTGAACCAGAAGTTGGTTTCTTTGTATCTCTCTTATCCTCATTTGATTGTTCCTTTCTCGGACTAGGGTTGATGGCTGGCCGCCCTTTGTTCATCTTGGATGACATGTCTGTGATTTGCAGCCGACTTGTGACATTAATGTTTGTACTTCTGGTACCAGCAGGACTGCTTCTAACCTCAGTCTGTATTCTACATTTCCTCGGACTAGATTCAGCTACCGTAGAGCTGACTTGCTGGTTCTTCGTTTTACTTGGACTAAATGTGTAAAAAAAAGACAAACACAGGATTAACTTAGTAGGTAGGCCTACTTAATGTACAAAATATGATCAATAAGCCAAGCATCAATTTATCTTAAGTAAGTTCTCTGAGGGAGCTGACCGATGAACCACTCTTCCCTTCACAATAAAAATATCCGCCATAGGCCTACAACCAGTTGTAAATATTAGTTGTTATAAGTTAGTTAACTTATTGCAGTGTTAAAAAAATGAAGTCTTTTAATATAGGCTACATAAAAGACATGACACAATCTATCTGACAATCGTCAGTCAAGGATTAAGAATAAAAAGTAAAAAAAAATAAAATAAATTTCATTAAGTTAGTTTGTTTAAAACTTAATAGGGCCTAGCATGTTCATTTAAGTTGGGCCAGCCTAAGTATTAAAACTGTACAGGTTATAAATCATAGGCAAGGCCTAATTTTCTAAAAAGGCTAGGATTAAGTTAACAAAGGGCTACATTAGATAACTTAATGGAATTTAGAAAACTCCTTAGGTCTAGCTTTACTTTGCATCTTGCCAGTGTCTGGAACAAGTCAAGTAAGGATGGGGTAGGCCTACATCCTTTAACGTCCTTAAGTTAACTCAATTTATGAAAAACTTAAATTATTAAGTTAGGCTACTAGCCTAGGTAACTCAAGTTAGGTCCAGGACTTTCTATACATACCGTAAGTTGAGTTAAGGTATTCAATTAGGCTTTTAAGCTTAGCCTACTTCTAAACAAGACAAAGTTTTAAGTTTGTTTGGGGGAGTTCCTTTACGTTCCTGGCATTGATGTGTCCATCAAAGCGAGGAAAAGGCTAGCTTTTTTAAAGTTATAACTTAAACAAATTTTTGACAAACATACAGGATACCGTAACTTACCGTGTTTGATGTTATGTTTTTGCATGTGTTGTTAAAGCTTGCAAGTTTATGGTTTGAGTTGTTGTAGGCCTAGCTGGTTTGAAATTGTGTAGGCTAGCCTAGCATATTGTACGCCTAGGCTATTCAATTATTAGGCTACTGTAATTTATTTAAACCTATATAAACCTAGGCATATGAGTGTTGATTGAACTTCATAATACCTAACAGCTGGCTTTCCGTATCGCACTTGTAAGACCTTAACTAAAAAGACAAGACGTTAATTAAGACGCTACATAGGCCTATGCCTTGCCCAAGACTACGATTTAGATTTAGGCTTCTAAGAAATTATAATCTAGGTTGATTACAAATTTGGTTAGTATTTAACTATCAAGAGAAACTAAGTAACTAAAGAGAACAATATTAAGTTAGTTAAGCTAGAACAAAGTTACCAATCTATTCTAAAAGTAGAGGTTACTAACCCGTTAGATCTACCTGACGCCGGTGACGATCTCACATTTTTCATTGGCGAGTAAGAAAATATAGAGGATGGTTTGGACATTATTTATATTACTGGTTTTCAATGATAATAACGACAATTAAAATAATTCAGTTGAAACACTTTGTTTCATACCGGACAAGACTGATATTTTTAAATCGTATAAACAACCTAAACAATCGTTATGGTCACGTGGTCTGAGCAGTTAGAGACGTTAGGCAGGATAGCCAACATGCATTCACACAATAACGTATAGAATATCTTGTATACACGTATAATAATGGCCTCAAAAGGTATTGTATAAATCATTTTCATTCTTCATGTAGGCTGAATATAATTATTCCTCACAACAGCAAAGCTTGAAAGAAAAGAAACCCTAATTCAATTATCAATCTTGGTTATTAATTAATTGCTTTCAAGTAGATTATAAGGGTTTACCCTTTGCGGCTGAATGGCGAGTATGGGCAAGGCCCCACTAGAAAAACTTTCCCGACTGCTCGAATGGCATCCTATACTCGCCGAAAAATGAAGAAATTAGACCCGTAGATCAAACAATTAATCAATGATTAAACTTGATCAAATCAATATAAATTATTTAATACCCCCGCCGCAGTAAACCTGCAGACTAAGCAAATTTCCATTAGCCTGATAGGATTTCACATTAAAATGCCTCCTTAAAAATATCATATTTATTCCCTATTTAAATAGAATTAGTTTAACGAGTACTTAGGTTTGCTGCAACAGGGAGGGTAAAAAGGTGGTTTTTTTATGTTAATAGTTTAGTAAGAAATGAATGTATTTTCCAAATTCGATCAAAATATGTTCATAAACAAGTAAAACTACAACAGTTGACTTATTCTCCATAAGAATAACATAGGGATTTTAAATTTACAATGGTTTATCTGTAACCATTAGGCGTACAATAACGCTTCAATATACTATAAATTATTATTTTTTTTAAGCTATACAAAATGGTGTGGAAATAAATTGTAAAATTTTGTGTATTTAGGGTCAAAAATGGGAAAAACCTATTTTTACCCCATAAAACCCCCCATAAACCCCCGTTCCCATAGTCCGATCATGCTGGTTCGCGAACTCGTTCAAATAAATGTAGTTTTACACGTTTATACCAAATTTCATCAAAGTCGGATCATTTTTGCTTGAGTTATCGTGCTGATATATATGAATTTGAACGGATGGTGTTTTTGGCCTCTAGGGACCTCAAAATGAAAAAATAAATCGGTCCCGGGTTTAGATCTTACCATGAGTACTTCGGTAATAGCTTATTCCCTATATGGGAAATTCGCTAAAAGGAAAAACCCCCATTGATTATGAAATGTATTATCAATTGTAAAACACAGTAACATTGAGTCACATTCATTAATAGATTAAACATTATTTAATTAATTGTATGTTCCCACATCTCCAGGGAGACACACATTTGTTTGTACATGTGTAATGAGCTTAAATTAAACTTCATTTGACACCAACCCAGCCTGCCAAGAAGACTGCTACGGAACGTACACCATTCACCCCAACCATGGTGAAAGACCTCAACCGTAAAGGTGCCACTATCCTTTCTAACATTATCATCGGAAAAGCCAAACTTCCCTGCACCAACCCACCTCAGCCTAGGAAAGAACCCGATCTTACCACCCATCCTAGCCACAACCTAGCGTACACCCGGATGCCCTCAACACCAGAGCAACACCACTCAGCCACCTGAAGAAACCCAGAAAGCCTCCACCAATCAACAAATACCTCTTCAACTCCCAACCAACCACAGTAAATGCCAACAACATAAAACCGGCCCCGTATTAAAAAAGCCCACAAACTCCCCCCCACCCCTCCCACCACAAGATAAACATAAACCCGGGACCCCCCAAAACCTCAAAACCATTCAACCATACCAGCATCCACAGAAAAATCACTCCCAAAAAATAAAAAATAAAAATAGATCCAGATATATTATCATCTCCGAACATGGCCTAACCGAATAACAAATAAACCAAATTAATTTACCGGACTACTCCCTAACTACAAGTTTCCCAAGGACATTACATAATTGGGGAGGGATCGCCATCTTCTCTAAAAAAACAAGCAACAACTCCTACAAAGACATTGACACCAAGCCACATTGCGAGAGGAACTCACCTCAGAACTGGTTGCAATACACCTGCCTAAACAACAACTAACAGTGATATTGGAGCTTATAGATCCCTATCCCCATCTCAACCCATCGAAGAATTTACTAAACACTTAGACCCCTTCCTGGAAACATACTCTAAAAGGAACAAAGACATTATATTTATGGGAGACATAAATGTAAATAGGTATTCTACGCCCAAACGAACCAGCGACACCTTGAAATTAATAGCTTTTGCAGGCCAACATAATTTTAGAGACCTGAACCATCTTAGCCACCAGAATAACCCCCAACTCTGTCAGCAGTATTGATATCTGCCTTACAAATCTGAGACTACACAACACTGCCCCAAAAACCCACAAAATGCCCTTCTCAGACCATCTGGGAATCAGCTGCGTCATAACAAACCACTACAACCTAAGAAACAAATCCATTAAAGCCCCCCACACACTACCAGACAAGACCTCCAGACCAGACCGTCCCAAGACGGAGATTAATCTCTTTTAGCCGTCCAAACGGCTCTACACACTCCCAGACCAAACGGTCCGAAGAGACCGTGGTGAGGAACTCCGACAAATGCATGAAGACTGTCACGATGGTTGGCCGTCTGACAGACAGCGCTACACACTCACAGACCAGACAAAAATAGTGGTGGGGGAATCTCATACCGTCTGTGGTCTGAGGGTTCAACCATCAGACACGCAGACAGTCTGGTCCGAGAAAATCGGTCTGCAGACAGCCCCACACACGATAAGACAAGTCCCAGAGGTCTGGTCTAGTGGTCTGGCAGTGTGATACAAATCAAACTAAATGTATAAAAAATAAGCGGTTCCATGAGTTGATAAACAGTTCGTTAAATGTTGATAAATCAGTAATTGACATCAGCACAGTCTGTCAGTGGTTCACACCAACTATACGATGATTTTGATTTTAAAACTTGCAAGAACTTTAACAGGGAGAGCGAGTTGTTCTAGTGGTTAGAGCGCGGGACTCAGGTTCCTATTGGGTCCCGGGTTCAAATCCCGCTAAATCACCAATGGAATTTATCTAAGTAAAAATTCCGTAACCCCTATGTCCAGCCTGAAGTAATGTGAAAAACAATTCCGGGCTAGAGTCCTAAGACAAAAATATGGGGATAGAATTGACTAGTTAGTTGTATCAATAGTCAAAGATATTTGCATAGATGAAAGGTTAGTCTATGATATTAGCAGACTACTCTGTTTACTATTTGACTCTTTTAATCTCCGACATTTGCCACTAATCAATGCTATATATGTGCCACCGAATGAGTGCAGTTCAACTGGTAGAATTAGGCAAAGGTTTTCAAATGTGAACCATGCTGTGAACTCGTTTATAAAATCACGAACTCCGCGCGACTGGAGCCGCCTGGCAAGAGCCGTCGCGACTGGACTGCTCCGTGAGCAGTTCAGTAGCTTCAGTCACGCGGCTGTAACGAATTTATAGTTAAACATAACATACGGAGTTTGAGGTGTGTACCTTCATAGATGATGGAACTGGTTCGTCACCACCCATACGTTTTCAACCCCAAGAACTCCCAATACTTTAAGAGGACGTCTCTGAATGAGAATACTCTTAAATCCCTTTTTTTCGCCGTACCATGAACAATGGATTAGGTTGTTCATTGTTTTTTACCATGCACATTAATATTTCCTTTTCATCCTCTTCTCCAAGTAATATATTTGCTGACAACTGTGCTTATGTGACGGCCAAGAGTGAAATTGCACTAGTCACTAGTCGTGGGAGTCGCGGCATATGAATTAAGACAAGCGTCTCGAGTCGTATACGGCTCTAGACTAGAGTCTTAACAGTCGCAGGATAGGAATTGGACCTTTAGCTAGTAACTCTGAGCCATCGAAGTATATAACACAAAGTGTATACAGACAGACGGTGTCCTCAGACGCTGCTGATAATCTTTTTACCTCATGAAGAAAAAGAGCAATTTTTTCTAATTGACTCATATAGTCATATGTAGAAAACATCCGTTTTTGTTATTTAATGTGCCGAACAAATATTTTCTGTGTAATTATTTTTTTCTGGCCATAGTCAACTTTTCATAACCCGGTTTGCAATCCATGCCAGTTGAATTATGTATATGATTTAAAAAATATATATGTATTACAGTATAACTGATAATTAACTGGAACTTGACCCTTTATAGTAGGTACGTTTTAGCATAGACAGAAACCATGGTGCTGCAGTTACCATGGTTACAATAGGTTCTGGTGCACACCGCTGGGAGTTCCATGTAGTTACTTAGCGCGTACGTCGTAACTACATGGCGTTCCCAGCGGTACGCGAGAACCTGTGGTAACTACAGCATGGCTGACGGTCTATATTTAATTATTTTTTGTATATGGTTTTAGGGCTCCAGGTTTGATGGAAACTCATAATAACATGCTAAAGTAAACTTAAACTTGTTCTTTCTCATTTTTATGCGATTATTTATACATTTGGTAGAACAAATCATACGCATTTATTTTTTAATAAAAGTTATAAAACGCAATAGGATGGTTTAGGTGTATTAATTGACGATAAAGCCAGTTTGGATATGCCTTTAGGGAAAACAGCAACATCCTAAGAGGCGAGTGTATTAATTGCTGTGGCAATCAACATGAATAATGGTTTGGCTCTCATCAGAAAAAGAATCAATCAATCAATCTTCAGCTCTCACCAATCCCAAGCTCAAGTTGAAGTTCGATTCAGACTTGCCGGCTCACCGATTTGAAGTCCCTCATAGTCTCGAGTTTTGAATTTTATACATACCTACATTATAAGGTAGCTTGTTTGCTATTTGCCCAACCTTTACTACTACACCATTGCTGACAATTTGACCATTAGGTTTAACGAGTACCTAGTTTTGCTGCTACAGGGAAGCTAATAAAGTGTGGCATTTAGTAAAATATTATAAAATAAATACATTTGCCGAGTTTAATTATTTGTGTTTTAAGCTCTTTAAAATGGTC